TAGTTATGAACGACCTAATCAGCTCGCCGTAGATCCTTACGCTACCAGAAGTATGAGTAGAATGAACTCAGTACATTCACATACTTCTGCGGCATTCCTTTGCGAAGGAGTGAACCCATAAGGGATTCACTATCAACTGAGTCGAAGGCTCCTTTTAGGTCAAGGAACAGGATGGTTTTGTCGTTTTTTGTGTGATATACTACTGTTTGATGAGCATAATTACTCGCTCAATAAAAGGAAAGTGTGTAAAACGGGGGTGGGGATCAATACCACGTTCAACCGGATCTGCTTCATCGGTAACCGAACGGAACGTGTTGCGAACAGTTAGCTATCAAACGTGTATGCTTCGCAATACAGTCTCCGTGAAGTACAACAGTGATCTGTGGTAAACTGTTAAACGCATGCTATTGTTTGCTTGTTTTTTTGTATGTTGATTGTGAAAAGTTCAATAGCCTCGATGGGATTCGAACTCACGCATGGACGCCGCCTCCGCTTTTGTGCGGCGCACACTCTAACAGTTGACCAGCGAGGCCATACCGATGGTATTGATCTTTTCAAATTCGAATTACTACCCATCCAACTTACAGAGGCATATGGCATCCACCAGTTAGCATGTAAGCTGACTGCCCAGGCAGGTTTTCCTTAAAATTCACCGGAGTCCACCGAATGAATGTGAAAAGACCAGTGCCATCGGTGTGGCCTCGTAGCTCAGCTGGTAGAGCGTGCGCGTACAAAGCGTAGTCGGCGTCCATACACATGGATTCGAAGCCCACCGAGGCTACTAAACTTTCAACAATCGATAAACAAACTTCAAATCTGCCAAACAACAATTTGTTTTTTTTTTCCGTTCACTCAGTTTTACTTTTCCACGTATGGTGAGGTTGGGTGGTTGTACCGAACGAAATTCGTTCGTTGTGGATTGGGCTAAAGCGAACAACTACAAAAAAACAGGCAAAATTCCATGAAGTGGCCATTTCAAACACTGACGTGCACAAGCAATTTTGACCAGCTTATGGATTCTACGACAGCATAGGATTCGTGACAAGACTCCATTCGAAACCATCAAAAATCTTGATCTTCACCATCTATTTTTCATTTTTTTTCATCCCCAGTAGACAACCGCTANCCGCTAAGGAGGTCAAGAGTGTGGTTGCTATTTTACTCAACAGCTGATATGAAGAGGTAACTGTCTCGGAACATCAGACGGTACGAAATATTGCAGTCGAGAAATGCTAGCGATAAACATGGAAACCAATGAAAATGGCAGCTTGGTCGTTTCATCACAGCTCGGATTCTCTAAACTTTTTCAAAACTTCAGGTGAATCAGACCAATCGCATTGTGTCAAGAACCCAAAAAAAGTGATTGTTTCTTCTGTCGTCACACGTCACCGATTGAACCGGGTCTATCAAAACCCCATCCAGTCGGAATGAACTGATTTCTCCAAACAAAAGTGGGAAGCATTCGATTGGAATTAACAGATTGTCACCGGTGTCTCCCTTCATTACTGTCGGGACAAATTAACTGACCAACTATCACTGAAGACGACACCTGAACAACATGAATTGGCAATTCGGTTTAGCCCTGGCACGACNACGACTTCCATGCGATGGATCCGGAGTTCAAATCCCGGACGCGTCTGTGGACATGCCCTAAGAGAGAAACTCGAGTCTAGTGCTTCAGATCGATCGCTGAACTGAGGATGCTGTGTGAAGTCCGAAGGACAGTCAGTTCACATCAATCAATATCAATTATTCCACGCCACTGCTCACAAGTATATATGTATATATATTTCACACACGTCTGATGCCAGACTGTACCAAACAAATCATGGTAAAATAACCTTTATAAAGAAGAAAAGCGTTCCATGACTTGCAAGTGGTTCGAATACTGCCAGGTTGCCCAGGCCAAGGCAGGTGAATTTTCCTGGGGAATCCACAACCAGAGCCTTTGGCTAACCAAAGCCTGACCCGTAAGGCATCGGGGCGGTGTGCGAAAACCGCAATCTATTGCGGGCCGGTGTCCAGTTCACCGGATCATTCGCCTTTCGGACAGGGTCAAACGTCCAAGGTGCCCAATACATCTCGATGCCCAATAGAGCCAGTGACCATTGCCACAATCGGAAAGATGTGTCTGGTTCGTACGCCTCCTCTTGGTTGGTTTGGAATCAAGGTTTTTAGCCAACTCCCCTAGGTGAACTGCCAGTGATTCACCAACCCGGTTATAGCCCCGGATATCGGCTTTTCGTCCTCTCATTTTCGTGCAAAAAACACCTCCGCCACGAGAAGGTACTGAGTAGGACTTCCTCAGCGGAGGCTATTTGAGACGCTTGGTCGTATGGGAGCATTTCGTGAGGTGCAAGGGTGATCAGCCGCAACCCTAGACACCCACCCCCGACCATACTGAGGCATTTGAAGTTCAAGATACAAAAGCAGTTATGCTAATAATTTGTCATTTTTAACTACTCATTGTATCTGCAGTAGTGAAACAGATTTCGACTGGGGCCTTTGGAGATGACTGGTTTCGGATCGCCGAGATGGTGATGCACCGCTAGTAATATATGCATTCTAGGACATTCGTTGTGATTTTTCTCATAGGGATCGCTTGCCAGTTGAAACCCCACCAAGTCCACAGACGTCGTCATTGAGCGTAGGCCTATTTAAGGTCAACCACCCAAACTGCCAATTAGTTATCCGCAATCTGCGGAGGCACCCAGTGGCGTACAGTGGTGAAACTTCACAGCATCCTGTGGAGCTCCAACTTTCGGCTAGGTTGTATGGTCTGACTACGCTTGACGTTTCCAACAACCACATGTCTCGACCACCATTTGAAGCCAGAAAACTTTAAGCGGCACCACGTAGCATACGTCTCCACCACTATGATCTACTATCACGAGAAGGTAAGCGGGAAAGAGGTAACTGAGCAAGTCAGTCTTGACAACCAAACAGTAATGCTTAATATCTATTTTTCGGTGAGATTCACATTCCAAATAGCTCCGGCCCCGTTTGAAGAGAGCCCCCCCAACTTTATTCTTCTAGATTTGCTTTTCACGTTGACTCAGTTGTCTCAAACAACGACTAACTCTCTTGACCTGAGGTATTATGCAGTTCATTGACATTCTAGCAGCATTAGGATAAAACTTAATTGCCGGTCGCGAAATGCGCTTGGTGTAGTAACTGCAATTCCTTTATCCAGTTTCTTTGGAAGTATGCGTCATCGAGTCAATCACTCTCTTCGTCAGTTGCTGGCCACATATTTCTCCATACTACGGAGATTAAACACCTATCTTGGAGCAACACGGAGATCACTCATTATTCTAAATCTAGACTCTATTGCGGCACCATAATCTGAGATCAGATATTTGATCTTTGCACATGCAATGAACGTTTCTCTGCAGCACAAAATCAATCCGGAGTGTTGACGAGGGTGCGGCAATTGATTATCGATCTCGCTGTGCCCACCAAACTGTTCAACGGAACTGAAATTTCTGTACATTATACCGTATGCGATTTGGAACATGACCAGCTCTTTGATGTGTAGTGTCATATAGAGATATACATGATTCGACAAATGGATTGCAAGAGCAGTGAAACAGTGATGAAGAAAACACTACTGGACACTGTTAACAGACTGCAAAAAACAAAACCGAAAGCTTCGATTTTCGTAGTTAAATCATAGCACCCAGTCATTACCTGTGTCAAGGATGGAGCTGATTCTGGTTCTGACGCATCTGGCACAGATTGAATCTTTGCATCCGAGAACAGTACCGGTGAAACAAACGGATCCGCCGATGCCATAGAGCGTGCTCCTAATGAGAAATTATTCCAATCGGTCATGGCCGGAACTGGAATCGGTAAGATGAGCACCGGAATAAAGGTGGCTGGTGGTGGTTGGAGAGGAGTGGGAGCCACTTCATTGCGGAAATCTGGTTCAACATGACCGAGAACTGGTGCTGAGGGATTGAGAAAATTGAGCCCCTGGAGACATGCAGATCTTTTCCCCGTTTGTACACGACCGCACTGATTGTCGGTTACACGATGATGTCCAGTGCGACGAAAATGTTGCATTAAATGTTTCCTAACTGTGTACGTTTTGGAGCAAAGTGAACACGAATAGGTTTTGCCACAGAGTTTCACGTGGTACGCTTGTGCCGATGGTGTGGCAAAACGTTGCTCACACCGATCGCATGCGTACGATTTGGACATATGAACAATCTGGAAATGCTTTGAGAAGGACATGACCCGTCGACCAAAAGAACACAAGAGTACCTGTTTTAAACGAGAGAACGAGGCAAAACCGCCATCACACTCGATATTATGCTTACACGAGGCGATCGGACAATGATAGACATAGGTGATGGTATTTTTCTTCTTCGAATAGAACGCCACGTCCGAATCGCTCTAGAGGTACGAACCAGTGTCAATTAGAGAAAAAAAATCCAAATAAGATAACAACCTTTAATATGTGATGTGTTTTGATATGATGTGCCCGTAGATTCGCTTTTGTTTTCACTTTTAAACCGCACAGATCGCATTTGTAGCTAGACAATGGTAATTCATTCAGTTCACTGGCCGAAATAACCACGTGTTTGACAACATTCACGTCCAATGAACCGGGTTCCGCGGACGTCGGTGGGTTCATGGTAATCGCCAACCAAACAACCAATTCATTTCCCCTCGGCCAAACGTGTTAGTGCATTCACTACAGAGAGATAGAGAAATAATGAAGTGGTAAATAGTGAGGATATGAAACGTCAGGGAAAGTTTGCATGACCATTAGAGTATACTGTGTTGAAATACACTAACATTGTTATTTTTCATACTACATTCACCGACGTGTTTTGTACCCTGTGGTCCTAAGTTCGAGCTCTGCTATCGCCACTCCACTTAGGTCGTAGGCAGCTTTACTGTCGTCCAATTTCATACCCCGCCCGGCCTAGCGGGGCCTTATGTAGTTCAGCACTCCAAGTCTTGGGGCTTAGGTTGCCGGCTGTCATCACTGAACAGCAGATTTTCGTGAATATAAGGTTGATCCCGTTTGCTTTTCATCACACACTGGTGTGTAATAACAAACGACGCTATCCTCTGGACTTATTGCGATGTTTTGTCGACAGTTGCCTGTTTAATTAACTTTACAGCGTATAATACTGATCAAAAACACAGTTTCAGTTTGTAAAACCATTAACTTTGCACTTTCGCGAGCCAGTTTTGGTTGCTGTCTTTCGGCTACCAAATTGAGCAAACAGTAAGAGAAAGATAGGAAGGTTGAAGGCAGAGTCGAAGAAAAAATCGAGAACTCCAGTAAACTATGGCTGCGACGAAATTGAGAATATGCACGAGCGCCCCTGTTTGCGACACCCAGCCATATCACTCAGTGTCTCTAACCATCGGTTACGATCATCCCGAGGTCCCCAGCCAGGGAGCCTAACGGGGCCTATGTGACCTAGTCTCCTGGTTAGGGTTTTCATAGCCTCGTGCCAAATCTTATTTCGACAACCCTTAACTTTTTACCGCCCATTACCTACCGCTGTCTACGTCGCATTACACGAGTCTGGTGGGGTAACCGGATGCACAATGCTGAGGTTAGGCGTAGAATTTTAGGCATTCGCGGTCGTCTACTGGAGCAAGTGATCGACATTCATAGATTACGTTGGTTGGAGCATGTGTTACGCATGTCACCAGATAGGTTGCCGTGGCGAGCGATGTTTGCTAAGGCTGGTAGCGATTGGAAAAACACAAAAGGCGGTCA